ACGTTTATGGAGTTTCATGAAAACTCCGAAGCCCTAGTCGAAGAAAGGCACGAATTCTGAGTTTTCAATTCGACTTCGTTGAAGCTCAACTGGAATTTCGGGCGGAATCGAACCCGAAGAGGCTCGAAGAGGTCCAACTCGAATTCTGGGCGGAACTCAAGTCGAGGAGGTCCCAACTCGAATTGTTGGTGTATCCAGGTTCTTTCTGATTCAATTTAATTTCGAACAGGCTTTTTGTTTTTCGGTTTTTCGAATGTTTTATGGTTGGGGTTTGATGTTCTGTACGTCAATTGTTTCTGTTGACAGAATTAATTCGATGCTAGGGTTGCAGTTCCAGTTCGGATCTGTTAAAGAAAAAGTAAAAATGGTAATAGTTTCACTTTAATTGTTAATTTGTGGAATTAGCTGAATATAAGTGGAAATTAAAAAATGGAATTGTTGCGATTATGTTTGTTAATTGGATATAAATGGAATAAATTAATGGAATTTGTGGAATTTGCGAAATATAATTGGAATTTTTTAATTACGGGTGCAATTATGCTGTTCATTCCATTATTAAATTTGATGGAATGAGGTGAATTATGCATTCATTGGTGGTCATTATTCGTTCGTTCTATGTGATATTGTGTTATGGTATGAAATCGTGTCAAGATTCGATTTGTTTTGATTGGTTATTGTGGGTATTCTTATGTGACAAATTACGAAAATGTCAGCGGGGAATGGTAAGCGTAAACGTACAATGCTGAGGGTTTTTTTTTTTAAAGATATTCTTTAGGCTGGGGATGTGATGATGTTTTGAATTGTGGTTTTATGGGGATTTGCTTATGTTTTGAATTATGGTTTAATGTTTGGTATGTTGTGGTTATGAAGGTTGGGGCTGAAGATGAAGAGGGGTATGGGGGGTATGGACTCAGTAACAAGAGTAATGTATGTGAGCAGAAGACCATGCCTTTGTATCTAGAATTGTTTAAGGTACTACATTACGGAATTCTGCGTGTGTGAAATTGCTTTGTTTGCACGATTAAGGTTTATGCATGTATTTAGTTCCTGGTGTGCTTAGGATGACGGATTAAGTTATAGAGGGGCCGTCAATGTTAGGGCGGAGGTGATAGCTGAACATTCAAAGGCCAGAAGTCGGGTAAGTTTTCTTGTTGATTCAGTTGTCAGTGGGTGTGGGAGAGGAACATTAACTTAATTACTGTAATTTCATTGGCAGGTTGCCGCGTCGAGTCATTTGGGCGCATATGTCAGAAATTTGATGACAAGCGAAGACGTTGGGTTTGTGAGATGGGATTTGGCAGTCTTTTACATCTTGCTTTAGATATGCATTTACCAAGGCAATTGGCACATTGGGTCATGACACGGATGGATCCAATCAGTAAAATGCTTAGAAGTCCCAACGGACTTGAGTTTCGGTTTTCAAAGAATCAGGTTCGATGGGTACAAGGGATACCAATGGGTTCTAGGACTGTTCCTAGTACTAAAACCATGACCCAACATGATCGTTTGAAGGTTCAGAGATTTATTCTCAAGTATGGTAAATCGTGGGAGTCCAAGTCTGGTAGACAATCTGGTCAGGTCTACACGTCTGTAGGCATACCATTAAGTTCAGATATGATGAATCGATTGGAGGGGTACTTTGATGCTGGAGAGGAAGAGGAATTCAAGACGTTGTTCTTGATAATTGCTTTAGAGATAGTGTTGTGTCCCACGCAGTCACCTCGGCTTGCGTCTGACCTACTACCTGCCGTAAGTTGTGCTATGGAGGCAATTGAGTACGATTGGTGTTCTTTAGTGTTGTCGAAGTTGCTAGAGAGCGTACAAAATTTTGCTTGTTTTTTTTTTTAATCTTGTGCTTTTATGGTTTAGTAATTGCTTGTTTTGCCTTTATTATTTGGAAGATATTTTACTTGGATCGATTAGATAGGGATCCTATTAAGTGGGATGTTTTTACAAGAATTAAAGTGTGGACAATGCAACAGATTGGGAAGGCAGCAAAATCAGACAAATTGTTGTCCGACGACTATGGGAAACTAGGGGTAAGCACTTTTGTATTTGTATTATATTGCATAGTATGCATAGTGTTCTGCTTCAATCAAATAAGGTTTAGAGTAACCTTTTTCCATTTGTATTTTTTTGTGTGGTTGAAGCTATTGGATGTTACTTACGGTGAACAACACCCAAGGGATGCAAGGGATAGTGTAGGACCCCTACGAGTTGGAGCGAATAATGTGAGGTTTGATCTTAAAGTAGTTGTTTCACCTGTGTACTTTGAATCTGAATCTGAAGTAACTTTGTTTGGATGCAAATGCATGAATTACCGGTTCCTGGGGTTAACTTCAAGGCTAGGAAAAGGAGGGGCCGAATGCCTGAGGTGACAGATGAATAAGCTCAGTTACTTATATTTCTATTTGTATTTTTTTCCAGTGTGGAATGTTCTGAATAATCTTACAGGATTTGGATATTGTTAACTCATTTCAGTTTGGAATGTGTAATATGGGTTCTAGGATATGATTATTATTTTCAGTTTTGTTTAATACTCAAAAAGTTTGTCAATTGACGAAATATTATTCCTATTGTTTGTTGTATTAATAATATAAAATATTATTCCAATTGTCAATTGTTTGTTGTATTAATAATACAGGGTTAAGGTCTTGAGATCATTTTCAAGGCTGTGTAAAATAATTCGTAGAGTGTCTTCAAAACTAGTGTTTGAATGAATCAGTTTTGTACTATAGTGGCCTTAAAGAAAAAGAAATCAATGAGCTCAGTTATTTGTATTTCTATTTGTATTTCATTTAAGGGTGAAGGTCAAGGCCTTGAGATAAGTGAATATTTAATCCGAATTTGTCTTTTGAAAATAAAGCCGATTATAACTTAGAAAACAAACTTAGAAAATATTGGACTTGAACAATACAACCTGCATATTAGCAATGGCTTTGACTTCCGTCAAACATACAAAAAAAGCGTACAGCCCACTCCCAAGTCAAAATCACAACTGATATAAGCTTGTTATAGCACATATTATCTCCCCTTGTTGAATTCCGGCAAGGATGAAGGGTCAATAGGGTGATGAAATAATAACAAGTATACTCTAGAAGGGGAATTTGAATAGAGTATCACTACACGAAAAGAGCAAATTGGCAACGGTTCAAACCCCCCCAAAGGCAACGGTTTTGAACCGTTGCGTATTTGAGGGTTTCCAAATCCCAAAATAATTGGAAACGGTTCAAAACCGTTGCCAACTCAAGCAATTGGCAACGGTTAACCGTTGCCATTGACCATGGCGCCCTTTTTTTTTGTTTTTAAAAATAATTGGCAACGGTTAACCGTTGCCAATTGCTTGAGTTGGCAATGGTTAACCGTTAACCGTTGTACTCATAACTAGTTAAAACATGTCATTATCACTTAGTTAAATGTGACTAATGCTTGAGATTACAAGAAAAGAGCAAGTAAGAGGTTTTGGGACGCAATTTCTTACCAAAATGGCTCAAGTAAGGCCATTTTGGCTACTATGATGCCTATTTTCTATAATTCTTGTCTATTGAACTCATAACCAGTTAAACATGTCATAATCACTTAGTTATAGGTGCCTAATGCTTGAGATTACAAGAAAAGAGCAAGTAAGTGGTTTTGGGACGCAATTTCAACCAAAATGGCTCAAGTAAGGCCATTTTGGCTACTAGGATGCCTTTTTTCTATATTTCTTGTCTATTGAACTCATAACTAGTTAAAACATGTCATTATCACTTAGTTAAATGTGACTAATGCTTGAGATTACAAGAAAAGAGCAAGTAAGAGGTTTTGGGACGCAATTTCAACCAAAATGGCTCAAGTAAGGCCATTTTGGCTACTATGATGCCTATTTTCTATAATTCTTGTCTATTGAACTCATAACTAGTTAAAACATGTCATAATCACTTAGTTATAGGTGCCTAACGCTTGAGATTACAAAAAAAGAGCAAGTAAGTGGTTTTGGGACGCAATTTCAACCAAAATGGCATACCTCTTCAAGCTAACGTGTGTCTGTACAATGACTCATCACTATGTCATACATGAATCTCATCACGTACAGGCCACAGTCAACTTTGTTTTCCTGTTGTGCGCACTAGCATGAGGAACAAAGCACATGAATCAAAATGCATAGCAAATAAGCAACATCTTAAGCATTGTACAGTAAGAAAATCACAACATCATGGGTGAATTACCTTAGGTGCTTTCCATGTAGGACCTCGAGGAGATCGAGGATTTATCTTCTTCATGGTACTACAAAAAATCAAAGTAATAAGTTCAAATTTGACTAGTATAATCAATACATATTAGTTAAGATATGAAAATGAATAACAAGAAGTGAAACAAACTAGATGCTTACTTTTGCAGTATGGACCTCACGAGGCGCTTTCTTACTTGAGGTAACCGAGCAGAATCAAAGTAGAAGATTGTGTTACTGGAAACACAAATCACAAGTAGGGTCCAATGATAACTACACACGAGACAAACAAATCAATAGTTAGCCTATTACAACAAATAAACTGGGAAAACAAATGAACTTGACTAGCATAATCAGACGTACTCCTCATAGTATGGGACGAATATAAACTTTTCTCCCGCACTCACTGATTGCCTTATACCCCGTTCAGCATAGTACAACACGTCAGCGGAGTTGCCTAAGATTCTAGCAGTGGACATCTGCTTAGGGCACAACCACCCAACTTGACAAGGAGATTCAAGCTCCCATATTTGCTCCTGGAGTCCTCTGCATGCATGATAACACAATGTTAATCGAAAACCAAACGACAAATACCACTAAACTGAATAATACAAATTGAGTACCAGTTGAATTACCTCATGGATATTTGAATGAGGGAAATTTTAAGCATTGCACCACTTAGAAATTCCTTCACATCTTCTTTGAATAGCCATGCCGTTGCATCATCATCATAGTGGAACATTTCCTTAGGAAGTTAGATTTGGATGGGGCTGTTATTAGGCAACACGCAAACACGGTTGTGCAAATAAGCTAACTCCTGAGATAGCGATTGAAGCACCGTGTCTTCAACTAATGGAGTAGCTTGCGTAGTTGAACCTCGTGAAGGGCTCTTCATCGACGCTTTTCCACTCAACGAGCCATGTTCACTCCTGTTCTTTGGCCCCTCCACCCTCTTCTTTGGAGTTTGGCTTTTCCTCGATGGCTAATAAGACAAATCACACAAATGGTTAGAAAAGATTTCCATCCAACTCTTGGGAAGAAAAGATTAAATCGTGAAATCTAAATCTTAATTACCTGGTTCATCAACCATATCCAAGCAGATGGCCATTGCACAAAACTACCTATTGCTGCCAGAGTGTAGTGAACTCATCCTCCTCCACGGGCACAGGTATTAAGATGTCCTCGAACCCGGGAACCACAGAATGGATCCCAACAGAATAATGCTCAGGCAGAAGAGGTCGAAGATGGACCGTACCTTGTTCGGCCGATTGTGCACTACCATAGGAAACAACATTCAAAGGTCCATCATATGATTCGCCCGGGTGAAGAAGTTCACAACGGGTCTATTCCTGCACCAGTTAGGAAGATACTTCATTTAAATATTCATAACTAAGTATCTTAGGTGTAATATAGGAGTTAATTCAAGCATTGAGCTAAAATCATGAAAAATGGGCAAGTTAGAACTCATTTAGGCCATTTTGAACCGTAAATACTCTAAATGAACCTAAAACTTGTAAATTTGCTTTTTTATATTGTTTCAAGCCATAAATATTCATAACTAAGTATTTTAGGTGTAATATAGGAGTTAATTCAAGCATTGAGCTAAAATCATGAAAAATGGGCAAGTTAGAACTCATTTAGGCCATTTTGAACCGTAAATACTCTAAATGAACCTAAAACTTGTAAATTTGCTTTTTTATATTGTTTCAAGCCACAAATATTCATAACTAAGTATCTTAGGTGTAATATAGGAGTTAATTCAAGCATTGAACTAAAATCATGAAAAATGGGCAAGTTAGAACTCATTTTGCCCATTTTGAACCGTAAACACTTTAAATGAACCTAAAACTTGTGAAATTGCGTTTTTTATGTTGTTTCAAGCCATAAATATTCATAACTAAGTATCTTAGGTGTAATATTTGAGTTAATTCAAGCATTGAGCTAAAATCATGAAAAATGGGCAAGTTAGAACTTATTTTGCCCATTTTGAACCGTAAACACTTTAAATGAACCTAAAACTTGTGAAATTGCTTTTTTTATGTTGTTTCAAGCCATAAATATTCATAACTAAGTATCTTAGGTGCAAAAAAAAAGAAAAAAAAAAAACCAAAACGAGTGCAAAAAAAAAAAACAAAAATCGGGCGAGAAGGGCAGCGTGTGCACAGCGAGGAGGCTACACAGCTGCTGCAGTGCAGCTGCAGCCTCCTCGCATGATACCCAATGAGAAAGAGAATGAGAAGGAGAAAGAGAAGGAGAAGGAGAAGGAGAAGAAAGAGAAGGAGGAGGAGGAGAAGGAGAAGGAGGAGGAGAATGAGGAGAAGGAGAAGGAGAAAGAGAAGGAGAAGGAGAAGAAAGGGAAGGAGGAGGAAGAGGAGGAGGAAGAGGAGAAGGAGAAGGAGAAAGAGAAGGAGGAGGAGAAGGAGAAGAAGAAGGAGAAGGAAGAGCAAACAACAACAACAGATCACATCAACAAAGCAACACCAACAACACAACACAGCGAAGAAACACCATTTCACAACACAATCCAAAAACCAATATCATTATCCAAACAAGTAAGTAAAAAATCACCTGTAGAATAGGAAAGTCATGAGGTGTCGGAGTATCAAGCCCCCTTGAGTTCGCATGTGAAGGAGTACCAATCTGCAATAGTGTATTGATAGTGAAACATTAATTAGAACCGTACCCACGTAACTCAACATATCAAAACTTATAGAGTTGAATTCTAATCATGTACCTCCTCGCGTGCATTTATCTCCTGTTCTCCTTGTCTTCGTGGGTGGCTACTTGAGTCGGCCGGATTTGTCGAGGAAAAGGGCAAGGTCGGCAAATTCATTTGCTTCGCCCATGCATTGAACTCTTCGCTCATCTCATTGCGCACTTGTTCTTTAATTGATGCCACTGTGGCATCAAAGTTCTGTGGCGAGTTCACACTTGCTTGGGATCTTCCAGATTTGGTATATTTGGGACCCATTACCTTCTCCCATCCTAGCAAGCTCCCCCCAGCACCTAATACCCGTCCCGGATGGTAGGGCTTTCCCATAGCCAAGGTGAAGGGGTCCTTCTCTACCGTCGGGACGAGCTTGTCTTCAACAAGCTCTCCAGTGTACTCAAGCTGTAGCAAAAACAAAATGGCAACATGAAGTAAGTGTTTATATAAAGTGATATACATGCAAATGAATAATGTAGTTCACTAGTTCATAGTTGCTTACTAGCTTATCTGTCATTTCTTTGGTTTCCGGAGCTTTGATGGACCATTTTTCGGTTTTCTTGTCCCGCGAATGCATAGAGCAAAAGAAATCCCCAGCACGACTCACCAAAGTACTGGTCGTGGAGTCAGACGGCGTTGTGGAGGACCCTAGAAGCGCAGTGGGGTATACTCCTTCACTCACCCACGTATCCCTCCATTCATCATACGTCATTGCTCCCATATGATGGTGGTATTGCTTTTGCAATGCATTCTTGGATTCTGCTCCCTCATTTCCTACATAAAAATACATGTTAGTTTCATTTCTAATAAAAAAGACGATAAATTACAACACAATTTTCATCAGAGTTCTTTAAACTTACAATTTCTTCTTTTTTACATTTTTGAAGAACGAAAGCTTCCCAATCATCCTTCGATATGCTAGGCCATATTTGCCATGGGAGTTTCTCTTCATCGATGACATCATCATCACTGCCACCTCCTTTCTTGTTCTTTGGTTTCCTCACAAGTTTCTTTGTGATAAACCGACGAACTAAGTTACACTTGAAGCTTCTGAATCTTGCTGCAAGTAAGGATTCAAACACCCTTCGCTTGGCGTACTCATTTGGAATGTTAAATAGACTCTACAAGCGTAAATAACAAACATTATTAGTTTTCCCATAACATAACAATAAATTGAAATTGTTTATAAATAATGTGGATTCCATAAAACTTACCCTGGTATCATTCCAAAACATGTCAATCAAGCCTGTAGGTACGTCGCTCATACGAAGCGTAATGGGGATTTTGCGTGCACAAATCCCAACTTGACCAGCATACTGACGACGCCATTTACCTGAGGGTTGCTCTACCCTGTCATATTCCAAGACCATAGGACCAACAGGTTTCTTGAAAGCTGTCGTCGGACCCCTCTGCTTTTTCTTCGCTGGTGTCTGCACCCCCCCCCCCCTCCACTTTGATCCTCACAAAACGGCTCCATAATGGCATTATCGATTGGAGGCGCTTGCTCAGTTACAATTTCAAACTCATCTATCATTCTCTCCAATACATCTTGCGCCTGATCTTCTGGCTCACCCAAATCAGGTTCCTTGTTCACATCATATAGCTGGTCCCCATCATTAGATGAATCATCATCATTAGATTCAACATCCTCAACTCGAACACGGTATTGATCATCCGCCATTAGATGTTAAAACCTGTCATTACAAACATAACACGTTATTAGCTGCTGAATTGTAAGGTAAACTTATAATCATATATAAACTGCTTAATTATAATACAAATAAACATAGAAAATGGTGATGCAAGTTACTTTATTCATTTAAAAGAATATAAGAAAAATGGGTAAGTAATTCAACATTTTCATTCATTTTCACCTAAAATGTGATTTTTGTAATTCTTTCTACGCCTGCAATTCAAACTAACAGAAATTATACAGTACCTCAATCTAATATTCCTTCATCGTGGTCTGATCTCATGTAATTGGCTTGGTCGTCTATCTCATTTGGCACAGCAGGTCTAGGAACAGTGAAAGGTGTCGAGTCATCAAAGGCATCATATTCTTCCTCATCCTCGACATCTCCAACACCAAGGATTCTTCTTTTGCTGGCTAGCACAATAGACCATTTTGAGTCGGCAGGGTCAGATACGTAAAACACCTGCTTAGCTTGAGATGCAAGGATGAATGGTTCCGCACTATCATTCAGGTTGCCAAGATCTACAAGAGTAAAGTCATCAAATTTGACGTTACGCCTGATATTATCAACCCACTTACACCGGAAAAGAGCAATCGTGAAGTCACAATAATCAAGCTCCCATATTTCTTGAATTCGACCGTAGTATGACAACTCTGCATCAACAGGTGATTTATCCTTAGCACTTGCAAACTCCCTTGACGATGCCACAACCGTTACACCACTGTTTTGGGTCGAGGACGATTTCAAATCTTGACGCTTAGTCCAAAATGTGTACCCATTTATGTCATATCCCTCAAATGAGCGAACATCATCCCTAGGACCATAAGCAAGCCACCTTACTGTAGCTGCGACACTCTCATCCATTCCACCCATCACTCGATCACGAAACCAACTCACAAACTTATTATTGTGCAACTGCATCAGTGCCCTTTCACCTTTCGACGGAAACTCATCACGCAAACTAGACATGTGCTCATCTAAATATGGGTGAACATCTGCAACATGGTGCAACACATAAAGGTGTGCTTGTAAGAACTTCTCTCGATCAGGTGACATTCGTTTCGACCCGATTGTGCCATGACCATCAAGTCTACCTTCATGTCGAGAAGTAGGAATACCAATAGGTTCAGCAACGGCTACATAGTCGGCCACAAAATTACCAATCTCCTCGGCCACGGTCCCTTGAATCATACTTCCTTCCGGGTGAGCCCGATTCCTAACTTTATCTTGCAATGTACCCATGTGTCTTTCAAAAGGATAGCACCACCTCATGAACACTGGACCGCACAACTTAATCTCACGCACCAAATGAAGAATCAAATGCACCATTATGTCAAAAAACGAGGGCGGGAAGTACATCTCAAATTTGCACAAAGTCACAACCACATCCGCCTGTAAAGCATCAAGTGTACAAGGATCAAGCACTTTGCTACATATTGTATTGAAAAACAAACAGAGGCTTGTAATAGCTTCCCTCACGTGCTTTGGCAAAATACCACGTATTGCAATTGGTAGAAAAACTTGCATCAGAACATGACAATCATGGGATTTCATACTTGTCAGCTTCAATTCTCCATTTAAGGATACAAATCTTTTCATGTTAGATGCGTACCCTGATGGAACCTTAATGCCATACAGACATTCACAAAACATCCGTTTTTCTACCCTTGACAATGTGTAGCAAGCCGGAGGTAAATAGGTCTTCCCCTCTTTGGCTTTTCCCTCATTTTTCTTCTTCGACGCATCTGCGGCCTTTCCCTTTCCTTTGCTCTTCCCCTTTCCCTTTTTCGAACCCATTTCTTTTTCCTTTTCCTGTTCCTTTCCCTTACTAACCCTTTGCTGAACCCACAATTCTGGACGCACCCCCATCTTTTCCAAATCTAAACGTGCACCCTTTCCGTCCTTTGTCTTGTTTTGAATATTCATCAGCGTTCCCACAAGAGCGTTACACACATTCTTCTCTATATGCATTACATCAAGACCGTGCCTAACGTCATGTTCTTTCCAGTACGGGAGCAACCAAAAGATTGATTCTTTTTTAAAGAGAGCAACTGATTCCGCCGCTTTTTCAAATTTCTCAAATACTGTTCATACACCCTTAACCCGAGCGTAAACCTCCTCACCAGTCAGTGGCCTAGGAGCAGTCCCCTCTTCCACCGTCCCATCGAAAGCCTTTTTCTGCCGACGGTACGGGTGATCGCGCCTGAGCAACCTTCTTGTCCTCAAATACACCTGTTTGAAAGAATGATCAAGGCGTCTGCTTGGCGTATCATCAATACAAATGGGACATACCTTTTTCCCTTTATTCTTATACCCAGACAAGTTGCCATATGCAGGAAAATCATTAACGGTCCACATAAGAGTTGCACGCAATGTGAACATCTCATTCTTATGAGCATCAAACACGGAAACCCCTTCGTCCCACATCTTTCTCAAATCATCAACCAATGGCGCAAGATAACACATCTATGTCGTTTCCAGGTTGCCTTGGCCCCAATATCAAGAGTGAAAGCATTACATATTTCCGTTTCATGCACAACCAAGGAGGCAAATTGTAGATCACTAAAAGTATCGGCCATGTGCTGTGCTGGGTACTAAGAGTGCCAAATGGATTCATCCCGTCCGTGCACAAACCAAGCCTTAAATTTCTGACTTCATCACCAAATTCCCCGAACTTCATATCAAGGTTCTTCCATTGCGGGGAGTCGGCTGGGTGCTTCAGCATTCTGTTTTTCTTTCTTCCCTCTGCATGCCACCCAAGTTTTTAGCGCCTTTTGGTAAAGAGAACAGACGCTTAAACCTTGGAATTATGGGAAGATACCACAACACCTTAGATGGAGGTCCCTTCGTACCAGCATTGCAACTCTTTCGCTTGTAGCGCGACTTCTTGCATCTTGGACACTCCTCCAATTGTTCATATTCATTTCGGTAATGAATACAATCATTAGGACATGCATGTATCTTTTTATACTCCAAACCAAATGGACACATGAACTTCTTAGCGTAATAGTAAGACTTAGGAATTTCATTCCCATCGGGCAACATCTCACTTAACATGCTCAACAAGGAAGTAAAACTAATGTCCGTCCACCCATGCTTCGACTTAATGTTAAAAAGAGTAAGCACAGCTGATAGTTTGGAGTATTTTTTGCACCCAGGATACAAAGGCTTTTTAGAAGCCTCCGATAATGACTCAAACACGTCACCTTCAAAACCACGCATCATCTCATCCACACCTTCATCCTCAACCTCATCCACATGATCATCCTCAAATCCCTCCTCAGCACCATCATCAACAAAATGTTCATCATTCTTGTATTCCTCGTCCACACGGATATCATTGCTTCTATCATCATGCACATCATACCCAATAACATCCCCACTGTACTCTCCTTCTTCACCATGCCAAATCCACACATGATATTTAACCCTAAACCCACGACAAACTACATGATCTCTAATGATATCAACACTATTGACCACCTTCACATTATTACAATCAACACAAGGACAATAGAGGCACTCAAAACCCATTCTGCGCTGATAAGATGAAGCCGTCTCGCAAAACTCTTGAACCCCATTAAAGAATTCCAATGTATCACGTCTACCATACATCCATCCACAATCCTTCTCCATTAAGCAAATTGTCTCTAAACATGGCAACATATTACGAATAATAATGTATAATTGCTACATCTACTATATATATAAATCAAATTCAAACACACACCATGCATATAACTTTCATATACATACACAAATGAATATATGCTTCCAAAGGGTCCTTATCACTCCAACCTAACCCATCCTTGAACGTTTACTCTCACTAGTGAATGTATGTCAACTTTCCAATTTTAAGGAAAATCAGGCAGCATTTCCCCCCAGTTCTCCAAGTAAACGACGTAGGTAATTACTTACCCACATATGTACCCAGAGAACATGGTGATCGAGGAAATGGTAAGCCAAGATGTTCCTTAAAATCGGAAAAAAAAGACATACATTCACCACCTAAGTGAGAGTAAATGTTCAAGAAAAGTCCCAACCGGGGACTATTCAAGACTTTCTCCTAATGAGAAAGCCTTGAACGGGTATCTAAGCATATGATGAAGCAATGCAAACATTTCATATATTTATTGTTGTATTTAGTTTGTCATGAAAAAACTTTTATTAAGACAATAAAGAGATAGATATATATATATATATCTTATTAGAGAAGTTTATAATTCATACCAATACAATGGATAATGTATTCTTTTTAACTTCACACTTGAGGTATATATGTAGTCTTCAAGCTTAAACTTGAACTTCAAATCACATATGAATCTATAAAAACGCAAAAAGAAAAAACAAAACAAAAAACAAAAGTTAGTAAGTATGAGAAATGGATAATAAGAAAAGATAGGGCCTTATATATAATTAAGGAACTAGAGAGAAAATGGGGCAACAAACCACACCAACCACAAAAGGTAAAACACAAAAAGGACAAATATAAGCTACTTCAAACAATTTCTATATTAATTAGGGCAACAAATAACCAAAACTTGGGACATATTCCCCATAGGAACATCATCAATGGAGAATTTCAATACTCCTAGCCTCAACATTGAGGGGCACTACCTAGCCTCAAACAAGAAGGGACCTTCTAGGAAGGGTACTTCGAGCAAGGACTAGGACATTAAAAACACCCAAAACAAGAATAAAACAAAACCAAACACCAGCCAAACAGCCCACAGCCAAGATAGCAACTGGACAAAAACAACAGCTACAGAAAACAACACGTTTAGCATAAAGGCAGAACCGAGCCATCAGAAAAACAGCACAGCTCAAACCAGAGAAGCAGGCATAGCAGCAGCCTGCAGCAACCTCAGCCCACCCACAGCAGCTTGCAGCAACCTCAGCCCACCCACAGCAGCCTGCAGCAACCTCAGCCCACCCACAGCCAAACCAGCCAAAATCTCTCCATAATAATACTATGAATTATTCAATCAAATAAAACTTTCCATCAAACCTTTTTACATTGAATAAAACATGCTATAAGCTTTTTACCTAAACTTCATTCACAAATACCACACACGCAAGCATTCTAAACTAATCATGCACTTTCGAGTATTGTCTGCCCAGCATTTTCTATCAATCATGCACTTCTGAGTATTAATAATCACTGGTCAAGCAAATTTAGGCAAGCTTTGAAGAACGAAATTCAAATTACTTGAAATAAGAACTTACATTTCCTATACCCAAGTATATATGTGGATGGAGGGTCGTTGTGGAGGGGGGCCGTACGTGCGCTTGTAGTTGAGAAACCCTATATTTCAACATACTAATTACAATTACTAAAATGCAACACAAATCCTCAAAAAAAGGCATGAATGTGAAGGAATTCAATGGAGTAATTGAAACCTAGGTATACTAGGTAGCTTACCTCGAAGATGCTTCAATGGAAGGGAGGCAATTGCGTATGGAATTGAAGATACTAGGTGGTGCGTATGGCGGCGGCTGCGTCGGGTGCTCCAATGGAATAGCAAGAAGAGGGAAGCAATGAAGAGGGACGAAGAGAAGAGGGACGAAACAGAGAAGAGAAGAGGGAACGAATTGAATGAAGAGACGTTGGAATTGAATGAAGCAGTATACCCGGGTTTTTTTTTTTAAATTGGCAACGGTTAACCGTTGCCAACACTTAACATTTTATTTTATTTTATTTTTTTAAATTGGCAACGGTTAACCGTTGCCAACTCTGAAATTTAAAATGGCGCTCATTTAAGTTGGCAACGGTTTTCATAAACCGTTGCCATAGGGGGGTTGCCTATTTCTTTTTTTCTACTAGTGTATGGCCAATTGTCGCAAGTTTTAAATTTCAAGGTCTTGCCGAACGCAGTTTCAATGCGTACCTGATTTAACTATTCAGTGACAAGGCTTTGAGATTTACTTCAAGGCTTAAAAACAAGTTGCGTAAATAAAATTGAAGTAAAAGCAGTAAAATAAAGCAAAAAAACAGTAAAAGAGACAAATATTATTACGAAGTTCGGCAAAAAATGCCTACGTCTCTGCCTAGGGTTTTTCAAAGGCGTAATAAACTGATTTAACTATTCAGTGTCAAGGCTTTGAGATTTACTTCAGGGCTGAAAAACAAGTGCGTAAATAAAACTGAAGTAAAAGCAGTAGAAATAAAGCAAAAAAGCAGTAAAAGAGACGGATATTATTACGAAGTTCGGTAAAAAAATGCCTACGTCTCTGCCTAGGGTTGTTCAACCCGTAGGTTTTTAAACTTATTTTTTTATTTCTTCCTTTAGAGACCTAAAGCACTTACAAGATCACCTCTCTTCTACCTGTAATCACCCGATTACACTTTAGAAACATTTAGTAAAAGAATTCAAAATAGGAATCCAAAAAATGCCATGGAGGAACAATGATGATATGTGTGACTGTGGCTTCTGTTGTCTAGATTGGTGTTCCACTAAAAGTTCTTATGACACTCACCTAAACTTTTCCTTACATCAAGATACTCAGGTGAGAAGTTACAGGTCTGATTCTCGTTGTAACAGAGAATGATGACACCGACTTCCATCTAGATGGGATTAAGCTGCCTGGACATGATTTGGCTGTGACTGAAATCTCTGCAAGTGATGAATCTTTCAAATAATTTAACCATCCTAATTGATCAAAATTACAGGTAGTAAGGTCAGATAAGAGCATTGCAAGTGAGACCTTACTGATAAAATTCTCCCTCGCCGGGTACTTGTAAATATAGCATCTCTTTCCAAATCAAATCCAAACACATCATTTTGGGTTATCTCCCTCAAGTTTTGATAACCAATTTTCGGCTTTTTCCATCTTAACTGTTAAATTCTTCTACTCTATAACTAAATCCTCTTTCTCTTTGTTTAGGACCTGAATCATTTCATCTTTCTCTCTCAAACATTCCAATTCCTCCCTCTCTAAAACCTCCTTAACTTCCTCAATTATTGTTGGTTTTTTCAGGATAATGACGCCAATATATCATGCAATCATTTGGACATGCATCGATCTTTGTATAATCCAACCCCAACACTTTCAAAACACTTTTTGCTTCATTAAAAGAAGTAGGCAACTTTGCACCAGGCAACACCTCCCTTATAAGCTCCAATATATCTCCAAATGCAGCATTGGTTAGCTTATGATCAAACTTCAAAATAAAAAGGCGAATCATAAAGGAAAGTTTTGAATGATTTTTGGAACCAGGATACAATTCTTCCTGGCCTTCTTCAACTAATCTCAAAAACTTTTTTGCCTCATCATTTGGACCCTCTCTAAAAGCATCACGTGCATCATGCAACAACCCTACTATGTCATCGTCAAACTCATTTGGGTTTGACCCTTCATCCCTATCCAAAATAGTTTCTTCTCTTTGGATATTGATCCCTAAATTTAATAAGTTATCCGTTCTTGGAACAAAACCATTACAAATTTTGTGATCTCTCACAACACCTTCATTACGCCAAAAACGATAATGACAAAGTGAACAAGGACAACATATTTGATTTCCTTGAGACTTAGTAGCAAAAGCCTTTTTTACATATTCGTCTACTCCCTGATCATATTCATCACTCCATTTGGCAAACATCCACCAATTCTTAATTCCACCATCCATTCTTTCGGGTTCGAATTCAGAGAGTTATTTTATCTAAGTCACAAAAACTAAAATGAAAAAAAAAAAAAAGTTAAATTAAAAGAATGATAAGCATATCACTCTATTTCAATTCGTATTTCAGACAAGCACATCAAGTAACCTTCACTACGGAGTACTATCACTTTACTATCATACATAAAAGAATTCTCCACAATCTCCACTGAGTGACTCTTTAGTGAATGGTAACGATGATGTACACGTTTTATACATAGATTTATCCCGATTTTACATCACATTCTTGCATGGTTTTAGGCTCTTTAGAGCCGTTTCTCGCTAACAATCTCTTCTCTAGTGTGTTCGATGTGTTTTTATAAGTTTTATAGGAATTTGGAGATTCTTGGATGATTTAGACACGTTTGGAACGTTTATGGAGATATTAGTGAACAAGGATGTAAAACCGAGCTAAACAAGAACCAGTCTTAGAATACTAGCAAGCAAGAGCAGTTTTTATACCATGCCCGGTCGGGCATTGCAAGCCCAGTCAGACTTCATGGTTGATGCTAATATTGAAGCAAAGAAGCTGATTTATGGTTTTATCCCACGCGCCCGATCAAGCAACCCATGCCCGGTTGGACTGGGCGCGTGGTGGCTGAGATGTTCAAAGCTACGAAATCAGAAGCAAGGCAGCCAGCGAAGAAGTGTGCCTCGCTCCCGATCGGGCGCCATATGCCCGGTTGGATCGGGCGCCGAGGAGATTGCCAAGGAAGATGTTGCGCCTATTTTTCTGCCATCTGCCCGATCGGGCATTGCAAGCCCGATCAGACCGGGCAGAGTTACGCGCAATTCCGGATTATTATTTTCTTATTTTTAGGTCATTAAGGGTATAAATACCCATTGTAATTATCATTAGAAAACAGATTATTATCTCCCTAAGTTTTATTTCTCTCTCTAGAACCCTAGTTTAATACTTTTTAGCAATTTTATTCCTAGGTTAGATTTGGGTATTGTTGATTAACAATTTGGGTAATTTCAATTGAAGCATCATTGGTATTTATCTCTATTCCTTTCTCTTTCAATTATTTTTGTTTTCAATTATGTTTTCCTTGATTATTATTGTTATTGTTTCTTTCAATATGTGTGAGTAGTTTTCTTATTCCAAGATCTAGGGTAGCCCAATTATGATTGATGCATAAATTAATTTTTTTAAATTCTCTAATAACTATTGCAATTGTTTATGCTAAATTGATTGTGATTATGTCAATACTAGATTAGAGATAATTAGTATTGTTATTATTCCATAGTTTCAATCACAACGAGAGTTGGGTTTTAATGGAATTGAGTAAATTAATTTAGGGTTTGAGATTCATCACGAGAGTAGTTGAATTGATAATTGGGAAGTGAAGTAAAGTGTTTAATGTCTCTAATTTGCATGATACCATGAGAATAGGCTTGATTGTGGGTTAGGGAAGCCATTGATACTCGAGAGAGGTCCTTGGTATTAGTTAGGGTTTGCTTTTCCCCATGTTAATTGGAATTGTATGTTAGGGGTAGATATATCATTGCATCGATCGTAATTGTGGTGATACTTGATCTTGGATTTTTTAGCTTATGGATTCATTGTATTCGTTTGATTTATTCTAGTTTTCCATACTTTAGCTCTTAGTTATTTTACCATTGATTGATTCTTGCTTAGTAATTACTTGAGTCTAGATAAATTGGGTGAACCATAGTCTCTGTGGGATCGACCCTGACTTACCCTGCTACATAATTAGGAGGAATAGTTAGGTTATTTTTTCTAGGTGTGCAACCGCCTACCAAACGACTTTGATCGTTTCCATATATACTTTCTCAAAACAAAAAAAATGTGAACTAGTGATATTTTAGCAAAGAATTTTCTAACTTCAATCCCTAGAAGAGGAAAATTAACAATAGACTTTGTTTATTGCAATTTATACAAACATTACCGCAAGACAAACGTTATTATTGGTCTTTACAATTTGAAGCAAAATGTCATTGTAATTAAGAAATTGAAAAGGAGTTCATGGGCCACTTTATTGATGTATGATAATATGAGTACGTATGTACTAATGACTTTTAAAGGATCTAATTTTTAGCATCTAGTAAACCAAAAGGGTTTGAATAAAGAGCTCAGCCCTGTAATGGACAGAAAAAACAGAAATGAAAGTGAGCTCTTGTTGTTACTGACTCAGGTGCTAGGGTCACTGTGTCAGACACGAGTACATGTCCAAATGCAACCTAAATATCTGCTGATTGGCCGTTTTGCACCAGACTGTAAGCATGATCTTTGGCTCAACAAGGAACAAGAAACAGCAACATATGTCGGTACAGGAAAAAAATTGTGAGAACCCTAAATTCCTTCCTTTTTTGTGTTATACACCAAAATTTTAATAAGAGGCAACACAAATGGATGAAATTATACTAACTGATTACAAATGCAGTATAGGAATTCATAAGTTGATGATAATTGTCAGCAAAGAAGATGCAGATATAATTACTTCAAACAGAGCGCAAAAAATTAAAAATGAAATGAAAAAACAACCAGAAAACCTCACCTTCAATACAAGCTCTTCAAAGCATTGCTGCACATTTACACGAGTTTTTGCGCCGCATTCAATAAATAAGCATTCATACTCTCTAGCAAAGTCGATTCCCTCTTTCTTTGTAACAACTCTCTCACTTTCCTAACAAGATAACATAAAAGGTTGGTGATTCAATTTATACACGACATAACAACTCGACTTACGTATTAGCAACAACATACACTACAGTGACAAGGCAAGTACAATTTCTTGAATAATTAGACTTGTTCGACAGCTCTTCATTTCTAACGACACCTATGCAGTTGTCTAATGTCCAAAAGTCACCTTTTTTCTAGTTTTGGTAGAATGAAATAAGAACTTCCTTTCAAAATATGAAAATAAAGCATCCAGTTAAAGGTTTGTACAAAAAAAAGGCCAACATAAATTTGGTAGAGAAACTAAAACAAGTAGGGAAAGAAACAAGGTGGAGGGAGGAAAAGACAAACATACGAACGTATTAGTTTAAGAACTGTGGTGCCATCAATTTTTTGGCTTTGACTAAACGTACATCAATACAAGTTCTCTCAAAGTAGGTTCTTCAGAAATAGAAACGCCAAAAAACGCAGCTCACTTGGGTCAAAGCAACATTAACATTTAGTTCTACAGACTGGACTCGGGCTTAGTCAATCATCTTCCTATTTTACCCAGTCCTTTTTGTTGTGGAATATTTAATCAATGTCCCATTATAAGAGTAGGCATTTATTAAATGAAGCTCCTAGCACTGAGGCCCCCAAAAACATTAAAGAAGCATACTCTTGATGAGAAAGTAAATCATTATAAATTAAACTGCATTTCTTCAATTTAGGTTTACTCATTTTCTTTCTACTAGACAAGATGTTGGGATCTGGGAGCATTCAAAGGGACAAGAGAAAAACCAGAACATAAAGAAAAAGCAGCAAGCAAAATGAGAGACACCAAGTACCTTATCAACTACTCATTTACGACTACTTAGTATGAAATACTTCGCATAAATAGTTTATCAGCGTACTAGAACAATTCAATGCAAAACATTAAAGAAGCATACTCTTGATGAGAAAGTAAATCATTATAAATTAAACTGCATTTCTTCAATTTAGGTTTACTCATTTTCTTTCTACTTGACAAGATGTTGGGATCTGGGAGCATTCAAAGGGACAAGAGAAAAAACAGAACATAAAGAAAAAGCAGCAAGAAAAATGAGACACTTAGTACCTTATCAACTACTCATTTACGACTACTTAGTATGAAATACTTCGCATAAATAGTCTATCAGCCTACTAGAACAATTCAATGCAAAACATTAAAGAAGCATACTCTTGATGAGAAAGTAAATCATTATAAATTAAACTGCATTTCTTCAATTTAGGTTTACTCATTTTCTTTCTACTTGACAAGATGTTAGGATCTGGGAGCATTCAAAGGGACAAGAGAAAAAACAGAACATAAAGAAAAAGCAGCAAGCAAAATGAGAGACACCAAGTACCTTATCAACTACTCATAAAGAACAATTCAATGCAAAACAATACTGATATAACTTCACAAACACCATAACAACTTCATATTTAAAAGGCTACAACAGTACTGCTAGAGATAAAGCAAAAGCTGCAATCAATCCATCATCTGCCGCATAGTAACTGCGTAATCTTAAATTCAGTATACGTAGGTTGATAGTTCTAATAAATAGAAATCTTTCATTTTCAAAACAGCTAAACAACTTCTTTATCACCATTTATACAAAAAATCATAAGAACAGTCTATAGCAGAACAACCGATTTCAATTCAAAACCCGGCACTCAATAAACGTGAAAAGGTTTGCAAAACCAGCAATCAATACATTATTATAGGAAAACCTAAATTCACATTCGGAACAACGATTGAATACATTAATATCAAATTCAATGACTGGTGATAATAAATTGAAGAAAACAAAGAGGGAAAGATGAGATTCTTTAATTGGCGTAAAGGTTGAGTACCATCGGAGTGAGATAGACTCCATTTTAGGAGTCCTTCCCAATTAACACAAACCCTAAAAACAAAGACACCAGAGATTCGAGAAAATTGAGGTATACCTTACAAGATCCGAGGAAATTTGTGACATGCAAGAGTCGAGCAATCAGCCACCACCACTGCTACCGCCAGCGCCTTCCTTCGCCTCCACCACTGCCGCTACCGCCAGCGAATCGTGAATTGGGAAAAAAATGTGAATTTGTGAACTAAGCTGGGCGAAATTAAATGTAAAGCAGAATGATTCGTGAAAGCAGAGCTAAAAATGGTTAACGGTGAAGACTGATTAAAGAGCGTTAATGGTGAAGGCAGAGCTAAAAATGAAAGTATCGCGCGTAGGGAGGAATAATTGGGGAAAAATGAGGAGGGAAGTTAATAAATGAATATTTTGTTTTGGCGCCTAAATAAAAACGGTGTCGTTGCATTAGCCATTTTGTCGTTGGATTATCCTAGGAGTAGAATGTGCCGTTGGATTAGCCAAAAAGAGCCGTTGGATTAGCTCGCCTAATGCAACAGTTTTTTAAAACTGTTGTATTAGTCCACTTTTTGATATAATTAACATGTTGTCGTTGTATTAGCCTTGTCTAATACAACGATAATAGATGAGCCGTTGTATTAGCTCTGTCTTTACCGTTGCATTAGGTCAAAAATGTAGTAGTGAAAGGTGTGTTACGCTGCATAGTATTTCAAGACCTTGACCCTCATATCACAGTCTTGACATACAATGTTTGATGAATACTGGAAAAACCACAATTTTCAAGTTATGAACAATTTACTCTTATCTGAAATATCTTTAATTTTTACACCTTAATAGTCAAGCATAGAGTTATGAGGTAAACTAAAAGGTACACTTGAATAGGTCTTGCGGTTTTCTTGGGCTTCAAAAACATCGTTCAATTTTCAACAGAAATATTCAGCCTATCTTCAAGGAATTTCTGCAAAGCAGAAATTTAAAACTCGAGCAATTCGGTTTTGAAAGGATTAAGTTTAAATATAAAACTTATCCCTTAAAACCAATATTCTGATAGAATTTGTGTAAGATATTTAATCTTCTCAAAAGATATTATCAAATTATTAAGTAGGCAGAATAATTGTCAAAAGCTTGTTATAACACATAATATCTCCCCCGCTTTGCATTCCCTTTGAAGTGATAGTGTGATTATAATTCTCAACGAAAATAAATACAGATGCATGCAAAGAGGGAGGAATGACGCGTAAAACAAGGGGGCTTAATTATCTTTTGAATACCGTAAAAAATTAAAGGACTTATGCCTGTCATTAAATGATTTAATGAAGGAAGGTAGTGAAAATCAATGCATTTTTCCCGCATTTGTAGTCGAAGAATACAAAGAGGGGAAGAGCGAAAGAGTGAGTGTACGGGGGTAAAAAAACAAATATATTATTTTTTCAAGTAAATTAAGTTTATTACATATATTTCTTGTTATTATTAATTTAAATTTTTTTTAATAGAGTTATTTCTATTTTATTTTTTTTCGTTGTTATATTTTATTAGTATACTTGTTATTACTTATTATTTATCAATA